CAGATGTCTCTTAATTTGGCTGTTTCCGATCTGCATCCTTTGTAGTCTTAAGAAGAGTGAGTTCCTGAATTCTGTGAGTAGCTCTCACGAACTATCAAACCTGTGAGGGTTCATGAGAACCCCCCTACATTTGTAGCCCATTGGTCAGAAGTTGGACCCAGTGCATCTGGTGTCTCAAGGAGGAGCAGTCTTGTTGGGGGCCAGGACCACTGTGGGGTCTGCTCTAACAATGGGTAGTTAGTGCCAGCATTGAATTGCAGTTCACTAGCGGGGCGTGGGATTAGAATTGCGTCAAAGGGCATTATCAAGAAAGTCAAAAGACAACCCACAGAATGGGACAAGTATCTGCAAACCACAGATTTGATAAGGATTTAATATCTAGAATATGTAAGAAACTCCTACAACTTAAACAAAGAGACAGCCAATTAATAAATGGGAAAAGAACTTGAATATACATTTCTCCAAAGAGGACATACAAAGGGCCAAGAAACCCATGAAAAGATGGTCGACAATGTTAGTCACCAAGGATGTGCAAATCAAATCCATAATGAGATGGCTCTTCACATCCACCAGGATGGCTATAACAATTTTAAATTTTTTCAAATAAGAAAATAAGTGTTGGTGAGGCAACATTTTGAATGTAATTAATGCTACTGAATTGTACATATAAATGGTTAAAATGGCAAAATTTACATTATGTAGTTATTTTACCACAATAAAAACCATGGTCATAATATATATAAATAATACATATTCATTACATATACAATAATAAATATATGTAACCATCCAAAGCCAGGCACTCAATAACAAAATAATCAAACACTTGATTTTAAGATTTGAGGATCATTTAAGTGCTGACTGAGAAGACAGGAAAATGTTCCAGGGAGAACAAGTCATCCTTTTAATCCTGCCCCACATCCCACCCCCTGCAGCCATGGAGCTGCTCTAGAAGAGGCTCACCCGGACACTGGTATGGTCTGGAGTCCTGGAGGTCCTTATCTGGCAGGTCCCTCCCTGTCCACAGTTTCCGGGGCAGTGGAAGGGACAGAATGCATCCCAAGATTCATGTGCACAGGCACCTGGACCATGTAGCCCAGATTTAGCCATGGCTTCTATGTGAGGGAGGTCCAGCACACCTGCACAGCCTTCTGTCAGCTGCAAGCGACACATAGCCACATGCTTGAACAGGCCCTCCCACTCTGAACAACCATTGCCACAGACAGCATGGGTCTATGCTAGATAGGTGACCACATTCAATGTGACAAGAGCTCTGACGCTGTTCCGGGGATTTCAGAGGGACCACAGCAGGCAGGGTGGGGTGGGGGGGTGTTGCATGTCTGCTGTCCTTCAAAGCAGTGCTCATTGTTACCAGTGACCTAGTTAACGAATAGAGCAGACAGAAAAATCATGAATGGATATTTAAAAAGCTTGGCACTTTTTGTAATTCAGCTTTCATTTCATCACGGTAGTTTCGGAAGTAGACAGTGGGGACCGGAAGCCAGGGCCTCTCCTTTCAGTGGTGGCGGCTGAGGCCAGGGAAGGAGCAACCTGTCTGGGTCTATGGACCAACAGGGCAGGGCCAGGAGTAGCGCCAGGACCCTAATTCCTAATGCAGGGCTCATTCTAGGGCACACGTCCTCTTATCAAAATGTCAATGGTGTGTGGATGTCAGAAGTTACTAAGCACTTTTTCTCAGTTAGCTAGTATGGTTTAACATTTAGAAATGACATAGGATGTGATGTAAGGAACATTTATTAATAAATCATGATTAAAGTAACAGATATTGAAATAAGTGGCCCAGCTCACTGGTAATATCTCAACTGGTGTCAAAGCCATAAAAAACAACAACAGCATCATAACCACACCTCCTCCCCCAATTAATAAGTGAAATTAGCAGTCTGGAGAAGGTTCAGAAGGCACAGGACAAGAAGAGAACCAGAAGAGGTATTCAAGTCTGAAATTATCCCACCACTCCTCACTCAAAAAATCCTCCGTGACTCCAAGCTGCTTACAGGACACACTTCTGACTCTCTGTCTGGCATGAAAGTCCCACTGTCTGTGCCACACCCCTTGCAGGTCCTTCCTGCCTGTCCACTTTCGAGGGTCCCCCAGCCCAGCCACACTGTGGCCCTCTTCATTGGGAATGACAAGGGCATCAGCTCAAGTCTCCTGTCGTTGCTGTTTTCAGTCCTGGGGCTCACACAGCGCTTTCCCTGCAATCCACCAGGGTAGGAGCCTGCCCCGAACCTGCCTGGATAAACCCAAATACCAGACTTGTGCCAGATTCTCATCTGGTTCTTTCCTGGTGAAAGAGGGAGGCAGGATGAAGAAAGACCAAATGCAGGACAAGACAACGGAGTTGATAGGTTCAGAAGTTATAAAGAAAATGCCATGAAACTGAGATGCCCTCAGAGGAAGCCAAATGTGGTTTGGTTTTGTAATCTCCAAATGCTGCATCAAACATGTGGCAGTGACAGACTGTAATAAAGAGCCACCGTTCTGAGGCAGGGGAAGTTGGCCCATCCCACATTAGACAGGAGTCAGGGCACACTGCCAAGCCCATCCCAGCCAAGCCACGCTCTCCAGCCCCCACAGGGGTCCTCTTGCAGTGACACAGCCATGGCCACCACAAGGAGCTGCCGCCCCAGGAAGTCAGGCGCACCATCTCTCAGCACCAACTGCAGTTTAAGTCACCAAGACCCATTTCACATGACTTTAATAGCATTTGTAGCAGAAACCACAGCTGAATTGAGGATGCGTGTGCATTTTTTTCTTCCCAGAAATTTAACTCATTCCTCCATATGCTTAAGTTTCATCATTCAGTGAGATCTCCTCTCTAAGGAAACATGAGATTAACCTCTAAAAGATCATCTCTTGAAACTAGGCTCTCCCTGCAGGAGGAAGAGTGAACAGCTGACAGTAGAAAGCCCTGCCCCTCCCGCAGCAGCCCTGTCCAGTCACTGGTTACCACTTCCTCGGCCCTGAGGCCACTCCTGACTCACTAGGCAACTGTTTCCAGCACTAATGCACAGGCTCGCTAATAAGACTTATTGACGACAGTCAGGACCAGCTACACAGAAATGTGCTCTCAGGGGCTGTGGGTGAATTTATCCTGACCTCTCCCATAACTCATGGCTTTCAGAGGAAGGGTCCTCTCAAATTGCATAGCCACCTTCAGAATTAACAGATAAAATCCCTACATCCCCCATCACAAAGCCACAGGTTCCTTCCTCAGCCTCAATAACGTCATGGGATGAGGGGGCAGATTCCAGATCCCACCAGCCTGAGACCTATGCTCCCATCCACTCCCAGGAGCATGGGCACGTCAGCCTTTATAGATCAGGGGCTCTCAAGCCCAGAGCAGACAAGAGCCACGTGTTCTGGAAGCAATTAGGAACCTGCCACACTTGTTAGTAGCAGCTAAAAAGCAGCATTTCTATGTCATTACAAAAAATGACTAAGTTAGACCAGGAGGAAAAAGTGACAAAACATGTATATTTAAATTACCCCACAGTAAAGATGAACACTTTTTTTCCCCAAAAGGAAAGGGCTAAGCTTAAGGACTCTATGCCTGGGCAGACACATAGAAAACAGGCTTGCAGGTGTGTCTTCAGCACCAATGAACTGGTCTCTCCAAAGCAGAGCTGGGTCTGATGGGGCCTTAAAGCTATATACTGACCTACAGAAAGCATACTGCTCACCCTGGGGAAACCAAGTCAGGAAGACACAAATTGCAAAATGCTGATTTCAATGAATAAGCTGCAAAGGAAAAAGAAAAGATGACAGAGGGAAGCTATGCATTAAGGTGTTTCACCGGGCCCAGCACTCAGGTCTCACGGGCTCCTGAACTACAAATGCACAACACACTCCTGAAGTAGGATGACAGGGAGATGTCTGATGACAGCAGAGATTACTTTTTTTTAAGGTAAGCTTGGTATGATGTTGGTTTTTATTTAATTACTTATTTTTATTTATTTTTTCAAAATATATTTTCATTGATTTTATTTGATACCTGTTTATTGTCACTTTAGGTAAATAACTAATTTAATATTGCTTCATAATGATATATGATCCTATTTAGCCAAATGTCCAAACTTTACTTTTTAATATATTTTTCTTGATTTCAGAGAAAGGAAGGGAGAAAGAGAGAGGGATAGAAACATCAATGATGAGAGAGAATCATTGATTGGCTGCCTCCTGCATGCCCCCTACTGGGGATTGAGCCCACAACCCAGGCATCTGCCCTGACACTCAACCAATGAGCCACACTGGCCAGACATAATGTTGGTTTTTTAAAAACAGTTATCTTTTAAAGATACATACTGAAATATTTAAAAATAAAAAATAATGTCTATGTATTTGCTTCAAAATTATTTAAAAGGGTAAAAAAGCCATTTTATTGCCCAGCAATAACATAGGGAAGACAAATTAAAAGTATTTCTATCAAATATTATTTAAATTTCAACTTCCTGGATACAAAGTAGCCAGTCTCTTCCGAATCTAGTTGAGCACTTGAGAGAGATGACAGAACAAATGCCCTCAACTGGATGCACACACACAGCACACCTGTGTATACACACACACACAAAAACCTAACAGCACATACACAGTACACATGTACACATATGTATGCTGCATAGGCTCACACACATACACAGACTCACAGCACACACACATACACCCACACAGCACACATGTACAGACTCAGCAAGGCACAGCACACATATGTACACACATGTACCAACTTAGCTCATGTACACATAGCTCATGTGTATACATATGTACATGGGTAGAAGCATAGGAAGGCTGTGCTGTCTGCATGCACAGAGCACAAGGACTCGGGATGGGCACTGTCTTTCTCAAATGGATGTCTCAAGTGGGTATCTCAGCAGCTCCTATGGGTGAGAGGCAAGTACAAGCCAGGGAGAATCCTTTTCAGGCAGGAAAGAGAAGAGAGTCACCTGCAAGGGAGGATGGAGCCCCCAAATGCATGTTACCTGTCTGAGTTCCTGGGTGTCCTCCTCAGAAATGAGTGGCTCGCTCATCTGTAGTTGAAGCAGCCTGCCCTCCTGGTTCCCCGAGGAAGGCTCTCGGTGCCTGGCGCAGTCCACTGGCCTGGACGCTGAAACACAAGTCAAACAGCAGTGACATCTTCCATAATGCACACAATGTAGAAGTACTTACGACTTTACAAAGATCGTTCCTGCTCTCTGGGCCAACGACATCTCTCCATCTGCAGTCTCTGCCTGCTGGCCCCTCCCTGAGCCTCAGCTAAGCTGAGTGGCTATGGGGCCTGCCCAAGCCTTGCCTTCCACTCCAGTCCAGGGTGGTTTCCTTAACCCACCCCGATCCCAGTGAAACACTGTAAATACCTGGGGTCTGGTTCTATAACTGGCTCTCAGAAGAAAGGGCCCTATCCAGGAGTAATCATTTTCTTTATTAGAAAAGACTATAAATTTAAAGTTTAAGATAGTACTTGTTGAATCCTCATAAACCCACAGGACGCTCTGGGTCTGGAGAGCACTGGGATGGCCAGCTGACTGGCCAAACAAAAGTAACTGTGGAGCCACGAGGGAGGGAAAGTCTGAGAGCACAAGGCCAGGCATTGCTCAGAATGGGTTTCCGCTCCAACAGCACCTGCCTGCGTAATGTCCCCGAGGAGCAGAAGGGCAGCCTGGTTAGAGGCTGCTAATCAGGTGGCTCACAGCCCCTCCCATGGTGTGCCACCTGTTCTTTATTTAAAGAACTGACTCCACCTGTACTCTGGCACTAGGAACCCAGATGAGGGCATCACTTAGAGTCTGCTGCCTACTCTTCTACACAGACCACCTCAGGTACACAGTAGTTACTGATTAGGATGCTGGAGAGGAGAGCAGGTGGCAGAAAGTACACAGATCTGAGAACCAGCACCAGATGCTCCAAGCAGCCTTCTCTGCTTTAGAGGAATGGGGGCACAGCAGGGTAACAGGTGACCCCCACCTCCTTCCCAGCGCCCTAGTGGTGGTGAGCAGAGCCGCCTTTCATCTGAGTGGCTTGGAGCAGCTGCCACTTGGAAAAGCAAGTCTGTCTCGGTAAGGCTCTCACTGGGCCTGAAGGGCTGAGGCCTAGCTGGTGGCCTTCAGGACACACCGACTGCACAGGTCCCTCCTTGGTGGGAGAGGTCAGCCACCCCTAACCTGCACACAAAAATGCCCCCTCTAATCTTATTTCTTAAAAAAAAAATAATTCTTACAAATAACACTCCCTGAAGAGTGCCTGGAGGAGGAAGATGATGCTCGGCCTGTGGTCAGCAGACTCCTATCCTGCCTCAGGATAAAATCAGGTTGTGATGAGACAGGAAGCAGGTTTCTCAGGGTCCCGGGAAGAAAAGGGCCAAAGGAGTAAGCTCAGGCAACAGAGGAGTAAGTCTGCCGAAGGCAAGACCCCAGCCCTCCCCCAGCCCATCTCTAACTGTGCGAGTGAAAAGCGCATCCTGTACAGAGCCACCACCTGGACCTCATCTCTAGGTCTGGAAAAGTTGCACAAGACAAAACATTACTGCAAACCATGCACTCGAATATCTGCTGTTCTAGGCCATTCTTTATGAAAATGCTAGTTGAAGCCCTTCTAAACAATGTCATAACTTGTGTTCTATACTTGCTAAAGCCCCACCTACTCCAACATCCTGGGGGGCTTGTTCATCAAAATGGTCCCCATTGTTCCAATGTGGTCTAGTGTCCCTCAATGGAACATCACATATGAAAAGTCCTTTTCTAAAGTGTCGGTCAGCAGCAGAGCACTGTCAGAGCTGGGTTGAAAGCTATCATGGCAGAACAGAGGGAGTATCCTACTAGTTATTATTAGCCTAAAGGAGAGGCCACCTTACACATGATGTTAAAGCATTACCTGTGATGACACAATGGCAAAGTGCACTTCATAGGCCTGAGAGTTGCAGTTCTCTGGCCTCACTCAGCATGTACATGTGCTCAGTCTGCCCCCTCACCCACCCCCAGCATGCTGGCCCCACCTACCTCTCCACCCCACACAGGTCCTGCACTTGGCCCTTCCATCTGCAGCAATCCTAGTGTTATTCCATTTGCACACCTTTTAATGAACTTGCTTGGAACTGCCCTGCTGTTTATTTTTTCAGCATCACTCCAGGATCTCTCTGACTAGCTTCTGTGAGAGATGGTCCATCCACTCACACTGTGCCCAGGACTGTGCTCTGGTGTCCATTTCAACACCTATAGCTATATTACTGACCGAGGCATACTCTTTTTGAATGTTTAGCGAAAGAGTATTATTTAAACAACCAGAAAGCCAAAATGGAGGAAATTCTTCCTAGAATATACTAGTCAGAGATGTTTTTCAGGACAAGCCATGGGCTCAGTGGAATCCCGCCCAGCACAAGGCTTTGGCCACCCCCAGTGCTGTGTTGACACTGGAGCTATTGACTCAGTTACCTCAATGCTTTGAAATATCTTCTGAGAAAAATTAGTTTGGTTCAGTATAAGATGGTTCTTGACTCTAAAGTCATTAATTATCTGTTAACCAAACTAAGCACACATTGTTCCAGCTAAAAGGAAACTTACAGATGATTTCACTTTCCAGGAAGGAGAAGACATCGAGGAGGGCCTGACTGGGCAGTAGGGGCGGCACCAGAGGGCAAGTGTGAGGCAAGATTTCCATGGGGTGAGTGAGCAGGTGACCAGGGTGTCTTTAATTAGGTGGTTGGGGAAGGACTCTCTCGAAGGTGCCAGTCAGGAAACAACAAGAACAAAAATCAGTTCCGGAACCCTTAACAGTGCCAGGCATGGCCTGTTCTGATGGAGAATGGTCTGTGGGCTTCCTCCCACACCTGTCACTCCAGGACCATGAAACAACCTGGGAGCATGCTACGACTGCTAAAAACTATCAAGACCACCAAAGCAAGGAGAGTCTGAGTAACTGACACAGTCAAGAAGGGTACAAGGAGATGCGCTGCCTAAAGGTCACATGGAATCCTGAAAGAGTAAAATGTAAAACAAGCTGGATAAAATATGGACTTAGGAGAATAGCAACGTATCTGTATAGGTTCATTAGTTATGACAATAAAGGAAGCTAATGTCGGGTGACAACAAGAGTGTGGAAGACATGGGAACTCTGACTATCCTTGTAATTTTTTCTGCAAGTCTGATACTATTCTAAATTTGAAAGGTTATTTAAAAGACACTATGCAGAAAAATAGCACTTTGCAACTGCTCTTCCCTAAGGTGGAAAGTGCCCACCTGTGTCATTCAGGGCCCTCAGAGGTCCACACAACACATTACCTCAGAGGTCTCTGGAAAGTTCTACTCACCCAAGGCAAATACCTGTCTCCTGTTACTAGACTGCCACCTACTGGCCACATGTTTTACCCAAATACCTCATCAAGGAGAGGAATCCATTTCTGAGATGTCAGTCACTGTTTCCACCTCCACTGTCTCTGCAGTTTCCAATGTGGAACAGCAAAGACAGAGGTGATGGCAGACACAACACAGGCGACAGTGAAAAACTGACCCTCGTCGCTAGGCTTGCAGAGGACACAGTGAAGTTTCTAGCAAGTCAGATGCCATCTCACTTGCTAAACTCAACATGCTGGCTTCTTCCAAATACATCACTTCTCATTACCTGAGCCTCTCCAAACCCATAGCTGTAAGGTGCTCCTACTCTGTGAGGCAGGGTGGCCTCGCAAAGGGAGGATGGAACTTCTTGCTCAGAGCAGAAGAAGACACTCTGCAGGGATCCCACCCAGGGGCTAAAGTTAGCACCGAGATGAAAACCCATCTGTCAGCTCATTCCACACACATTGGATCCATTACCGTGAAAGGCCAGGCCACAGCTATTCAATCCAACCCTAATCTAGGTGTTTATAGTGTGGATAGAGGAGGCCTATAATCATGGACTTTAGGTAAGGGAGACTGTCCTAGATAATGTGGTGGGCCTGCTACAATCAGTTGAAAGGCTTTAAAAGCAGACCTGTGGCTTCCTGGAGGAGGAAGATGATGCTCGGCCTGTGGTCAGCAGACTCAGCCTGTGCCCAGGAGGTTCAGTCTGCCCTTCCTGACGACAGGCCTGTGGAACTTCCACGCACCTATCTTCCTACAGTCTGCCTGCTCCTTTCCAGCCCTGTCTGCCACCTGGGCTCTAGCGTCAGGGCCTGCCATCCTACCCTTCATGGCGTCCCTGACAGCAGGCCCAGCAATTTTGTGCAGTGTGACCTCTGTGCTACACATAGCGTGCTCGCATCTGCCATCTCATTCATTACATGCTGTGCCCTATTTTCTATCAGAAACCCCATGTCCAACAACCCACAAACATGGTGGAACTCTGTGACAAGGAGGGTTGTGGGTTTTATTTAGCATTTTTTCCCAAGACTATAGGTGCTGAATACCATGCCTGGCTCTGCAGGGTTCTCAGTGCTGGCGGAACCGGTGGCTGATGGTTGTGTGTGTCTCGTCCCTACAGAGCCTCCTCCTCTCACTGCTGAGGCCTCTCCCATGGGAAAATGCAGTTGGTGACTCAGTCAAAACTTGGGGCATCAGAGCAGCTGCCCAGCTGGGCTTGTACGTGGCCTTGCCTGAAGGGCCCTCTGGTCAGGGTCTCACATTGGCTGCCACAGCCCACCATTCTTGCCTCTTTTATGGGCCAGCTTCTGAGTCCTCCTTGAGTGAGGGGGCCAAAGAAAAACCAGAAATGCCAAGAAAGTAAGTTTTTAAATTAAGTTTTTACATTAATATTTCTAACATTTTGGATCTCATGAGACCAGATCTATTATCAAGTATATATATTTTGGAAACTCGAAGTCATCTAGAATACTATCAACATATTCATGTGTTAGGGAAATAGGTTACATATTAGAATTAAAATCAATCACTTAAGAGAAAAAAGAAAAGGAACCAGAATAGTAACAAACATCTCTCTTACTTTAACAGACATGCAGGAATCAAAGATACTTGTAAAAAAAAATCACATGAAATACAGAAGTAATATTACCTATAATTCTAGTATTAGAAAATATTAGAATATTTTATGACTTTAGTATTTCTTAAATGGGGCTCACAAACAAACTTAAGGGGGGAAATGGTGGATCTGACCACAGCAAAATTAAAGATTTCTGTAATGGAGGCTGACAGTCTGGGAAAGCACTGGCAGCCTCTCAAATCAATAAGGAATGAAAATCTAGAATACATAAAGAACTCTTGCAAATCAGACAAAACAACAACAACAACAAAACACACAGAACAGGCAATCCACAGAACAAAACCTGTGGGATTAAAGAGCAAATAAGCATCAGATGCTCTATCTCACAATCAGTGAAAGAAATTAAAATACCATCAAGATGCCACAGAACACTTGTAAGAATGGCAAAACTGAGAGGTCAAACATCAAGTTATCCCGTGCTATGGAGGACGCTGTGACCCAAGAACCTCGAGATGTGTGGACATGTAATATATCCGAATGTCCTGCCTCCCACACTCCACCCCACTGGACATGCCAGCTACACCCTCCACACCCCAGAGACCTGCAAGAGAACACCACAGAGAAAGCAAGTTTTTCAGAATACCTCACGGATGCCCCATAAACTACCCAAACTATGCTGCATAGTTTTCAAAGATTCTGATACCTGAACACACACCTGGAAGGTGGTCTGGGAAGACCTCGATCAAATGTGAAAGAAAACAGGAGTGAGACTGAGTAAGTTACTGATGGGGGGACTGGAGACTCAGCAAAGCAGGTGGGGGCTACTGCTAGTTAAGACCCCAAAATGCTAATTCTCAAATCAAATAGAGGAAAGAGTGAAAACACTTAACTCAGACCTCTTTGTTCTGAAAGGGTCATCAAAACCCTTTCTGATCTACTTGGAAATCTCTATAGCTTTCCAGTGTATGATAAACCAAAGTGATTTGAGATTCACAGTTGACAAGTACTAAGGAAAATGGTCTGAAATTATTTTTATTTACAATGCATCATGTTAAGCACATACCACAGGCAGTCTGAGACTTCCCAGGTCTGTGCACAGGCTGTGTTGATGGTCACTTACCTGCCTGCCAGACTGAGTAGCCCTTCGCTGCTGGGGAAGAGGTTCCAGTGCTTCTGAGCATCAAGGCATCTTCTAAAAACTCGATCTTCTTGCTGAACTGCATTTCCAAAATGGGAACAACTTCTGGCATCTTGGCAGATATCAAACGAAAAGTTATGTCTGGCTTCCCAATGAACCGCTGGCGGATGCTAACTTCATAATGTGTGTGAACCTTAATGTCATCTACATCTTCTCTTTCAAATCTGTGTAACAGCAAAGAATTTGAGTCATGGATTTCCAACCCAGAAACAAGGATGGTGAGCCTTCCTGGTTTAACATGAGATTCTGTTCCTTGGGAAATAACAGCAGGAATTCTGATCACTATCCCTTCTTTTCCAAGAGCTTTGGTACTAGCCATTGAGGAGCCTCCCCTGGAGTTTGTGTCTGATGGCATCTTCCAAAGCTTGAAGCTAAAGGGCCACCAAGAAGGAGATTCCAGTTCTTTCAGCAACCTAGAAGATGAAACAACATACTAAAAACTAGGCCATGCAATTTTTAATACTTTAACTGCTTTAGCCTTTATAAAGCACTTTTACCATTTTACAGTTTTCTTTTCCACAAATACTCCATGAAACAGGAAGAGCAGAAATGGTTATCCCTACGTTTTAAGAAAAGAAACCTAAGGCTAAAAGCAGTAGTGTTATTTGCCTACGGTATGTATACAAAGCTATTTGTAGTGGACACATTATCTTCAGACTCGAATATTATTACTCTTACCACACTTAAACCTGGGTAATTCTGACTCAAATCCTGTTCTTAATCTCTAGAGAGGTAATAGAATTCTGGCAGTGATCTGTACTGTCCAATACAGTAATAGGCACATATGGCTACCGGGTACCTGAAATATAGCTAATGTAAGGAGGAACTGAATTTTAAACTTAAATTTAATGTAGTTCCTAGCTACCATATTGGACAGCACAACTCTAAAGTAACGAGTAACAGATATATCTAAAAAGTCAATAAAAGGGAAAAAAATAGAAGCAGGATTGGGAAAGCAAAGGAATAAGGATCAAATAAAATAAAACAAATAAGATGGTGGAATTAATCACAACCATATTACTAATCATATTAAATAAAAATAGACTAAATTCTTTCATTAAAAGGCAGATTATCAGCTTGGGAAAAAAACAAGACTCAACTATATCTTGTTTACAAGAGACACTGTGAAATACGATGACACAGATACATCAAAAGCAAAGGGATTGGAAAAAAGATATATCACACTAAAAGTAAACTTTTAAACAAGCAGTGTACCAGGAATAAAGAGGGACCGTGCATAATAAGAGGGTTGAACCAACTGAAATATTTAATATTACTAAATATGTATGTATCTAATAACAGAACTTCAAAATTCGTTAAGCAAAAATTGATATTTTATAAAAGGAGAAATAGATAATCACAGCTGTGGATTTCAACAAATTTCTCTCTATGACTGATCCAGCAAGAAAACAAAAATAATTAGTACGAATATAGAAATTTTGAGCAACACAATTTAACCAACTCAACCTGATTGGTATTCATAGGAACAGCATCAACTGCTGAGTCATTCTTTTCAAGTGTATTCAGAACATTAAAAAAACAACAACAAAAAAACAGAGTGCCCTGGCCAGTGCACTCACACAGTGGTTCTCAACCTTCCTAATGCCGCGACCCTTTAATACAGTTCCTATGTTAGGGTGACCCCCAACCATAAAATTATTTTCGTTGCTACTTCATAACTGTAATTTTGCTACTGTTATGAATCGTAATGTAAATATCTGATATGCAGGATGTATTTAGGCGACCCCTGTGAAAGGGTCGTTCAACCCCCAAAGGGGTCGCGACCCACAGGTTGAGAACCGCTGGAGAAAATTGACACATGCGCCAAAGATTCCCAGGTTTGATTTCTGGTCAAGGGCACGTACCTGGGTTACAGGTTCGATCCCTGCCCCAGTCCAGTCGCGTGTGGGAAACAAGCAATGCATGTGTCTCTCTCACATTGATGTTCTCCCCGCGCCCCCGCTCTCTCTTCACCATGCTCCCTCCCTTCCACTCTCTAAAAATCAATGGGAAAGATGCTTGGGTGGGGATTAACAAAAAACAAAACAAAAAAAAAAAGTATAACAAGCCACAATAAATATCAAGTATTGAAATCATACAGAGTATATCCTCTGTCCCCAGAGAAATAACACTAAAAGTCAATATCATTAAGCCAACTACACCCTAGCTGGTTTGTCTCAATGGATAGAGCATCAGCCTGTGGACTGAAGAGTCCTGGGTTCGATTCCAGTCAAGGGCACATGCCCGGGTTTCAGGCTTGATCCCCAGTGGGGGGCGTGCAGGGGGCAGCCAGTCAATGGTTCTCTCTCATCATTCTATCTATCTCTCCCTCTCCCCTCCTCTCTGAAATCAATAAAAAAAAAATTAAAAGATTAAAAAAATAAATAAAAAGATTTTTAAAAAATTCTTTAAAAAAAGGCCAACTAGAACATTCTCAAATATTTGGAAATTAAACACAATTCTAAATAAAGGACATCAAAATATGTGAAGTGAATGAAACTGAATACATAATACACACACAATATGGAATACAAATAGAGCAGTCATGCAAGGTAAATTTATTGCTCTCGACGCATGCATTTGAAAACTTTTTGGAAAGGTTTAAAAATCAGTGATCTAAGTTTCTATTTAAAGAAGTTTTTAAACCCAAAATGAAGTAGAAGAAAAAGTAGAAATCAATAAAATTTAAAACAAAATATATTAAAAAAAGCCAAAGTCGGTTCTTTGAAGCAATTTTAAAAAGTAAACCCCTAGCAAGAAATGCTCAAGAAAAAAAAAATAAAGAAAATGCAAATTACCAATATCAGGAATAAAAAGGGGCACCACCATAGATCCTTCAGCCATTGAAAGGCTATAGAGTAGAGGTGAAAAACCTTTTTTTCTGCCAAGGACCATTTGGATATTTATATCATCATTCACGGGCCATACAAAATTATCAACTTAAAAATAGCCTGCTATATTTGGTCAAACATTTAATTAACTCACCCCTTAATGCCCTGGCAGGGCCAGATCAAATGATTTTGCAGGCCTTCTATGGCCCGCAGGCTGGATACTCCTCAACCCTACTATAGAGGATGTTATACTCAACCGATAAATTCGACAACTTATATGAAATATACAAAACACTTGAAAACCCAACATGTAAAACCGAGGAAAGAAAAAGTTTAAGAATAAGAATAGCTGCCCAGCCGGTGTGACTCAGTGGTTGAGCATTGACCTATGAACTAAGAGGTCACAGTTCGATTCCCGGTCAGGGCATATGCCTGGGTTGCAGGCTCAGTTCCCAATGTGGGACATGCAGGAGACAGGCGATCAATGATTCTCTCTCATCACTGATGTTTCTATCTCTCTATCCCTCTCCCTTCCTCTATGAAATCAATAAAAATATATTTAAAAAAAATAGCTCACAAAGAAATTGAACCTGTAACTAAAGAGCTTTCCATGGGGAGTGGAGGTGAGCTATGGTTTAGGTGGCTTCACTGATGAATTCTGTAAACATATAGAAAAAATAATAATTGTATACCAACTTTTTCAAAGACTAGAGCAAAAAGTGAATGCTTTGCCCATTCAGTTCATAAGACCACTCTAATTCCTATTCCCAAACCCGCTAAGGACATTATAAGAAAACAAGAACATAGCAATATCCATCAATAACACAGACGCAGAATTCCTTATGAAAATATCAGTAAATCAAATCTAACAATATATAGAAAATACTACATTATGATTAAGTCGTATTAATCCCAGGATACTGAGATTGGTTTAACATACAAAAATTAATCATTGTATCCCACTGGTGGAAAACCACAGGGAAACTGTAAGAGTATCACAAAAGATGCAGAAAAGGAATCTGACAAAATTGAACATCCACTCATGTACTTCCAGCAAGCTAGAAACAGAAGAAAATTTCCTCAATCTGATACAGGACATCTATAAAAAACTTAAAAGTAACAGCATGGTTAATGTTGAAAAAGTCAATGTCTTCACTCTATGGTCAGAAACAAAGTTTAAAAAAATGAACAGATTTCTGAACTATCTGAATTTCGAAAGCATTCCTGAAGTCACACACAGAACCAAGGCAGATCCTTATCAGCACAGGGTGTTAAAGCATAGCCTCGATCTGACCAATGGCTGACCATTAAGCTATGCTGACACCAGAACAACCCAGAGGAGCCCATGTAAGTTTAAAAATTAAAACCTTTACAAACAAAAATAAAAGCCTGAGCAGATGACAAATATTGCACACTACAGTGTAAATACACTCTGTCAAATTAGTACAGCCACCAACGGCATTACCCTGTGGTAAAAAGGGAGATCAGAATAAAAAATTGCAAAAAAAAAAAAAAAAAAAAAAAATTGCAAAAAAAAAAAAAAATATATATATATATATATATTTGTTTGTTTATTGGAAAATACTTAAATTTTTAAGAAACGAACACATTTTTAAAAGAGCTTTGATGGGAGATATAGCCGTTCTAGGGCTCCCAGTCCACATGGAACACCAATAATATATATTTTAAATGCCAAGTTTTCTAACAAAAAAAGTAAGAGGAAACCAAAATGTGACCTATACACAGGGATAAAAACCCCACAAAAACTAAACTAAACAATCAATAGAATCCATTTCTGAAAGCATTCATATAGTGTATTTAATATAGATTTCAAAACACTTATTATAAATATTCAAGGAATTAAAGGAAACCAAGTTAAAAGGATTAAAGAAAAGCATAATGATGATGATTCATCAAACAGAGACTATTAATAGAGAGAAATTACATAAAAAAGAATCAAATAAAAATCCTAAAATTAAAAAGTTACAATAACCCAACAGAGAGTCCAGGAGCACATGGTTTTAGTGGTGAGTTCTACAAAACATTTAAAAAAGAATTAATACCAATTTCTATAAAACTTTACCAAAGCCAGAAGAGGAGAAAGCAATTTCAAACACATTTTATAAGGCCAGCATCACCTTGACACTAAAACCAAACAAGGACACAACAAGAAATTTCTAAGCAAATATTCCAGATGAACACAGATGCAAAAACCTCAACAAAGTATTAGCAAATCAAATTCAACAATATGTAAAAAGGATCATATACCATGACTAAGTAAGATTTATTCCAAGATGAATGATAGTTTGACAACCAAAAACCAATCAACGTTACATATACCATGTTAACAAAATAAATAATAAAAATCATATGATCATCTCAATAGATGACAAATTATCAACAAGTGGCTATGGAAGGTTTGTACTTCTACATAATAAAGGCCATATATGACAAAAACCACAGCTAACAGCATAAGTAACAGTAAAAAGCTGAAAGCTTTTCCTTTAAGATCAGGAACAAGACAAGTATGAGGTATGAGATATATAAGAAAACCACTTTTATTCAATATAGTATTGGAAGTC